GGGGGGGGGGGGGGGGGGGGGGGGGGGGGGGGGGGGGGGGGGGGGGGGGGGGGGGGGGGGGGGGGGGGGGGGGTACTAATGTTTACCCCAAGGAAACGATATACATTTACGTAAAGAAAAAAAATCTATCCAAACAAAAAACTTTTGCTCTTTTTAACGCCAGTAATATAAAAACAAAAAAAATTACAGAAACGACTATCTTCAAAAAACGCAAAATTATATTTTATCCCTGTATATTTAGACCCTCATAGTCGTGCATGCCGTAGTCGTTAGACCATTGACCTCGCATCCCTACGAAGCCGGGATGGAGCACGCCGGGTTCTCACCGGACCAGGCTCTCAAATCACCAAGCGCGGAGCACCGTGAGGTATTTTATGCGAGTCGCATGAATGGTGCTATATTAGGACCCCGGCATTTGTGGTTTGTGATTTGGGTGTGGGTGCGGGGACAACGGGGGAAGGGGGCAACACCTACCTCTTGGCCGTATTCGGTTGCGGCCCAGGCATATCCAAGGCTAGCGCAGTGGTCCACGCATAGCTTCAGCATCACGAAGAGAACGCGGGAGTCGCATATGAGGATCGTGACACGCAAATAAAGGCCGGGTGGGGACGGGTGGGGAAGGGGGCGTGGGGTGGATAAATGGTGCTTGCCAGCTTGGCGGACCTTGCTTACCGCGCGTTTTACCGCTGGTACGTGTTGCACGAGAAGTTTACAAATATTGTTGATCATATAACAGCGACAATAACAACAACAGCAGCAACAGTACTACCAATACCACCAGCACCACCAACCTCACAACAGGCCACGGGCGAAAAACATCTGTGCAAAATAAACATTGGTTCGGCGTTCGCTGTGTGCGAGAAAGGCAAACGATTGCGACCAAGTAGCACGCACACGCTCATGTAACCAACTCAGTTTTGGTTCATCAACGACTCGATCCACCACACGCAGCAAATCTTAACGAACCAAGCAAAAACTTGATATTATATATATATGCCGACCAATAAACAAACCGACCTTGTTGGTCATGGCGTCAAACACGAGGGGGTCCCCCGGCATCGCCCGGGGCAGCGCGTCGCGGAAGCAGCCCTCGTAGTCGGTGCCGGTGCCACCGTTCACGGCTTGGATGTCGTACACGGTCATTTTGTCGAACCCACCGCAGGTCTCTTCTTCGTTGCCCGCGCAGGGAAAGTCGCAACTATCGATGTCCAGCTCCCCGTGCCTCGCCAGGGCCGGGTGTATACCGCACCAGCACTATTTGTTCACGTCAATATGACGTAGAAAGGGTCCATAGAGAAGGGGTACTCGATATCATGCACACCTCGCATCCCTACAATACGGGTACTCTGGGAATACGTTCCAAGTACATTTCGGTTGGATTGCAGTGACAGCTCGGTTGCATTGCAGTTACACTCTGATTCCTCATGGGTTACCGTATATCTTCATGATGGCTATGTCAATGAGCTACATTCCGGCAGACATTCCGATCACAGTCCGGCTACAGTACGGCCTCAAAATACGGCCTCATTACAGCAGTTTCGTTACGGTTACAATAATACGGGATTCACCGTCACACTGCGGTTCCAACACGAGCGGACCCACTGATATGGTATAGTCTACTATAGTACACACATACCTCTTCCCCGTACTGGGTGCCGAAGTGCGTGTTGGTGCCGTCGTTGCACAGGTCGAAGCAGATCTGCGCGCGCCAAGCACCAATCCAAAAAGCGAGAGTCCTCAGCAATAGTCTAAACCCCAAATTCATAGATATCATACGTCCTCACGAAACACGCAGAAAAAAATGCATTGCTTGAAGTCAAACTACGTCGCGACACAACGAGGAAAAAAAGCGAGAGGGATATATATAATGCTGCAGGTATAGCCTACTTGAATAAAACAAAAGTACTACTATAATAATACTAGATATCCTGTTGTGGGAATACATAATGGGCTACGTGCATAGGACGCCGGTGGTCGGAGAGGTGCAGCAGGCACAGCTGTCGGTTGCGTTCTGACAACAAACGAACACGACAAGAATTGAGATTGTCTAAACATCGCCCGGAAAAAACGTCGATTGAACAAAGCAACCCCCCATCGATCTATTTATCCTCTCCTCCCCGCGTCCCGACATGCGCCCAAGACCCCAGCATTCATACGCACACTGCCGTGTGTATGTAGACCGTCGATAGATGCACACAGCACACGTACACGGTGCAACTCACGGATGCAGACATGACATCCTCTGACTGTTTGTTGAACATGATCCGACCGCTCTGGCTGTCCGCGTAGCACCCGACCAAGACGTAGTCGTCTAGGTGGTTCCCTAAAATCAATAAAAGAACAGAAGAACACGTGGTGGTCAGTACCATCGATCGATACAAGAGCCGGGAGGGCCAACAGAGGGTCCCGCCCTCCGTTTTGAGGATGGAAAGTGTGGTGTGGCGAGACTTACGAAATGATGCCGGCACCAAGGTGTTGTAGAATTGGAAGGAAAGTCCTACATATGTTGTTGTACTTCGTATTGGTTTAATATTCATGTAGAGTATGAGACATTAAGTGAAAGTTTTCTGAGGTTCATCTGCAATTGTCGGAAGGCAAAAATAAATAAATAAATTGGAAGGAAAGGTGAATGCGTGGGTGTGGTTGAAGAAAGGCAGTATTGAAGAAAAGGGAAGCCATAGAAATCGGCCTTCTCAGTGGCAACGCACACAACACTTGCACAAGAATGTTAGCCACAGCCTATAAGGCACATACGTCTACTCGAGCCAAGAAACAAAAAATGAAGAGTGCGGCTGCTGTGTGTGCCTGGTGTGCAGTGTGCATATACAGCCGTTTCGTTCGCAACATTTCTTATTTCTTGGTCACAACCCCGACCCGTTTTCTAGCAGAATCTCAGATATTTATTTAATCATGATTATGATTATTATTATTGCCCTCCGACAATTGAAGATGTTAGCACTAAAGTCCTAAAACGTTTCACTCAATGTATACCCCTTACTATTTCTATCTTCATGCTCATACTTGTACGAATACGATATTGTACATGCACGTCATGTTAGTACGTACCTACCAATGCCGAACTTAAAACTGAAGGAAATCATAACATTATTGATTGAATTCAACATTTCCTCCGTTCTCCTGTTACTTCCGTTGTGAAAATGCCAAAACCTTGTCTCTCCAAAACTCTGACAAGAAGTTCCTGTCGTTGAACCGAAATCTTGTGAACATAATCTACTACTAAAACAACATTCTTTTAGTATATGTGATGTACCTACCAAATGCTTTCTTTATAATAGTTTTCTTTTTGCGAAAAGAGTGGACCGTATAGGGGTACGCTTTTTGTTCGTAAAAAAAAAAGCTGTTTAGAGGGGGGGGGCAAAACGGGCTCAAGTAAGTCTGTCTGTCTGTTATCTGTGACCAACCTCGATTTATTACCCAGCAGATTCCAGCCCATTTCACCATCTCGGCACCAAATTGCAATCTAAGACGTGTTCACAACAAGTAATACTTTGCCCGAGCTGCCCCAACTGCTACCTTTTCAATCCGTGCTCGGTGCGTCGAGATAATGCAGCGTCGGTACCCAACTTGAAGCAGGGAAGTTTCTGGCCCCCAGCAGCAGCGGCCTCTCTCTCTTTCCGCGGAGAGGAGCACATGACACCATAACATACATTCGCTGCTACGCACCCCCATTGGTGCGACATGTACTGCTGTACGCCTCTCTACAATTTTGTGCGCGAAGGCCTAGTGTGCGACCAGTGCCGCCCGTGCTAGCCTCTGGTTACCCATCACACGCTTGAACGCTTTTGAGATTTCTCGATCAAAGTTCGAACCAACAAGCGAAGCACAACAGCAGAGACATTTTTTTTTTAGCTGCTAGCCCTATTGTTTTATATCCCACACCCGTCCCTCCCCCCCGGAGTACACCTCCCTCCCCCGCGGTGTTGCCATCGGGGTTGGGTTTTCGTCGCTTGGCAACGACGTTGTAAAACAAGCCAATTCACTTCGTGAACTCGGCAACCAGG